TGGGGTGAAGCGTTATCTGGCCTCCTCCTGTGGCGCCACCGCTGCTCCCAACACACCATGGACCTCCCGTGCCTCCATCTCCCCATCTCCAGCGCCAGGGGTGACAGCACAGAACGAGCCTGGGCTTTCAGAAGCACACAGAGAGGCAGGTGGGCCACCCCTGCGCCAGGGCACGCTACCTCTTGGGAGCCTGAATGCGGGACACCGCAGTCCAGGCAGAGAAGTCCGGGCTCCTGCAGTAGCGCCGAAGCTCCTCAAGGGCTTTGCGGGTCTCCACCTCGCCCTGGACCCGGAACTCCTCCTCTGTGAGCAGGCGTGGGGGGCTCGGCCCGAGCCAGGCACCCTGCACCCTCCTGCCAAGAGAGCAGCAGCGGTTACTGCCCAGCCAGCAGGGGCTGGGTCCCTCTGGCCTCGGCTCCAAGGCGCCAGCGCCGGGGAAAGGGGGACACAACCCTTCTGGTATTCCCCCCCCCGGCTGTGTGCCACAGACACCATCCGGCAGCTCGGCCAGGCCTGGGAATGGGGTTGGCAGCCCTCACCTATAGGCAGCGAAGGCCCAGCGCAGCGGGTAGTCCAGGTTCTTGGTGCAGATGGCGATGACCACCAGGGCCAAGGCGATGGGGTGGATCTGGATGCCCGAGTACATCAGTAAGAGGCCCAGGAGCTGCAGAGCCCAGGAGAGGAGGTTGATGCTGCGCTCATTCTCCAACGGGCCGTAGCGGTAGCAGATGCCGAAGCTCACGAAGCCCATGAGCAGCAGGTAACCTGAGGGAGAGCAAGAGGGAGCAGAGGCTCAGCCCGGCTGAAGGAGCTGCTCACCCGCAAGGGCTGCAGTTAAACCTGACCCCGGAGCCCACGAGGAGCAGGGGCTGCAGCACCAAGCTGACATTTTATCATAGGCTCATGTCACCCAAGGCCCTGTGTCCAACCTGGCCTTGAACACTGCCAGGGATGGGGCATTCACCTCTTCTCGGGGCACCCTGTGCCAGCGCCTCAGCACCCTCACAGGGAAGAACTTCCTTATCTCCAACCTGAACTTCCTGTTTCAGTTTGAACCCATCAGCCCTTGTCCTGTCACTCCAGTCCTGATTAAAGTCCCTCTCCAGCATCCTTGTGGCCCCCTTCAGACCCTGGAAGCTGCTCTGAGGGCTCCAGCAGCTTCTCTTCTCCAGGCGGAAACCCCCAGTGTTCTCCGCCTGTCTT